TATATATATATATATACACACTCTCATTTTTTGGGGGAAGACTCCCTTAGAAGCCTAAATTGCATTGATAACTCTTTTGAAGGATAAGATTTCCCACTTAATAAACTCATAAAAATTTCTGCCCCAAAAGTACAGTGATCTTAATCACTCAGTAAGATTTTATCTATAAGGATGTAAACCTGGCCATATTGCATCAGACTAAGGTGTTGACTATCTCAAAGTTCTGTGTCTGGTATTAGTTAGTAACAGATACTGTAAAAACAAAACAAAAAAACCAACCACAAAACCAAAACAAAAACCAAAACAGGGCAAGCAAGGAATGAGTAGGAACCAGCACAGTCCTCCAACCTTGCCACTTGGAGGATTGTCTGTTTCTGAAGAGTACTCTTCCGTTCACCTTCCTTTCTTTAGTCTGCTGTGCCTTTGCTATTACCCACACCTGAACCAATATCTGTACTGTAGTCTCTTCTCATATAAGGAGCCTGTACTGCCTTGACGGTGAATATTTTTATTATTCTCAGCATTGTCTCTCTGTCTAGCTCACTTATTAAAAAACTCACCCTGTTCTGTAGTGCTGTTAATTTACAAGGTGCTTTACAAACATAGATAAGAGCCATCCAAGACGAGACAAAATGCCAGATGAAGCACTTGAAGGCTATTCAGGAAAGTGAGGACATGGAAATCACTTATGCAAAGAGGTGAGGGGTTTTGTGAAGCAGGGTTTCTGAGAAGGGGTTTTTTAGGCAGGGCAGAGAGGAACTCTGGCAGTGGAGGAAAATGGTGAGATGCAAGGAGCAGTGGAGTTAAGATGTGAGGGCAAGAGCAAGGAAAGGAGAGGAAGGAAAAAATAAACTCAGAGAAGTAGAGGACAGTGAATTGTGAGGAAAGGCACTTGAGAGGAAAGCAATAGGATAGAATATTTAGATTCCTGAAAGTTTCTTCAAAATGGTCTGGGAGGGGACTCAAGAAATCCATATAGCTTGTTTTTTCCTGTTTGGTTTGGGTGTTTTTTTGTTTGTTTCTTTGGTTTTTTTTTGACAAAATGACTTTCTGTCACAGCTTTTCAGCCTACCTTGTTCTTAGCCTACTTGCAATGATAGGCATAGCAGGCAGTGCTTACATGTTGTTATGTTAGAAAGTTTCCCTACTATTTAAGATAAGTCTCCCTTGCATTAAATATTATCCTGTCCATTGTGTCCATTTATGAAGGGAAAGAATTAAATGTAAAACCTAATGCAAGACAGGAGCCAAAGGAGGGAGGAGTGTGCTCTGTCTCTGCATGTCGTCTTGCCTAATCCATCTAGTAGGCTACTCCAATCTCCTTTTCTTGCTATGGCTTTGTAAGGGCCAGGGAAGATAGATTGAAAAATTGACTTGTTATGATGAACTAATCTTTATTAGTAAGAACAGGATAAACTTGGGAATAAGCCAGATCCTACAAGATGCTTTGTCTCTTTGTCCTCCTGGGATTTAAACTGGTGTTCAAGAGATTCACTATCTTGTACGAGTGTACAAACTGGCTTTTTCTTTAGGCACTGATGTTTTGTTTTGCTCTCCATCACTTGTCTCTGCAATTATTAGGCCAGCACCAAGTCAAGCAAGGGACATGCGAAGTTGTGGCAGTGCATCGTTGCTGCAATAAGAACCGGATTGAAGAGCGATCGCAAACTGTCAAGTGTTCCTGCTTCCCAGGGCAGGTGGCTGGTACAACAAGGGCTCAGCCCTCGTGTGTGGAAGGTAAGCAGTCTCCTGCTCACTCATGGTTCATTAAGATTGTTTGAGAAGTTTAGTCTCCTTGATTGTTTGACTTCCCACTGCCTCAAAAGCATAATCCTTCCTTTTGTTAATTTTGGAAACATCTCTGTGCATTGATGATAATGAGTCTGTGCATAAATCTGGGTGTAATTAATCCTCTTAATATATGTACTCGTCCATTTCGTGTCTGTGCCAATAAAAGTTCTTAATTTTTTCACACAAGAAGTCTCCTTTAACACTAGTCTGAAAACAGCATAAGCCAAGAAATTCAAGCTTATGATATTAACTCTTTCAGTTGTCTTTAAACTTGGTAGCTTGGCTAAAAATTCACTGGATAATAAATGCAGCCCTAAGACTGGGCATGCAGGTAGTGCTGGGATATCTGATTTTGAGAGCTGTTCTCTAGATGAAAATTTCACCATTTTATGTACCTAGTGGGCTCTCATGCCGGACACCAGTGCTACAATGATGCCCCATATCTATTCAATTTCATGTGTTGTAACCCCAAATACATTAGAGTTTGGAGAGCAGAGCAAGCATACTGCTGCACAGGACATAGTGTCTGAGGTAGGACACTTACCTGATGAAGGAAAAATATGGTACAGTTGCCTTAGTCCATCACCTTCCTGAGTAGATGTTGAAATCCTCACAGAGCTCAGTGTTGCCATCCTTACAATTTCAGCAGTATAACTCATTTGAAATTAAATTGATTATATACACTAAAGCTAAACTCTTACCTTGATTGTAGTGTTGACCATGCATTGTGAGGCTATATAAAACTTGCCTCCTTGAGGCTCACTCTGCACTACCACCTACCGCTCCCACCTCCCCCTTCCATTTTTCTCTCTGGCTTACCAGCAGTTCAGAAACTGTGGGTTACCCTTCTTCCTTTTCTACCACTACAATCTATTTGCTGGAGAGGCTGTTGCTCTTGTTGTTAACTTAGTAAACAGTACTCCCAGACATGCATTCTTTTTCACACAAAATTGCAACCATTTCAAATTAAATGTAAAACAAAAGCTTCAAAATCCGATTTTTAATCTCACGTTCAGAGATACTTAGTTTTAAACATGAAACTCTAAATACATACGATGTCTGATTTTATAACCTATTATCTGTTTTGAGAACCTCTTATTTAAGAAAGTAGATTTTTATTTATTTTTTTTTTTAGGATGCTTAGTCTTTTCATGCCTTGTAATTCAGAAACACAATCAACTTTAACTGTGCAATTTGTTAAGTAGTTTTCTTGTCAAATCAGAAGTACCTTCTGTATTTTTAGGTGGCACATCAAACAGGAGGAATACTTTTACATACAGCAGTTAATAAAAGGCAGGCATTGTTTTAAACTCGCTTAAGGATTGCAAAGGTGACACTGTCATTCTGTGATAGAAAGATAAAAATGCATGATACCCTAGAAGCTTAATTCGGTCAGTGCAAATAGTTGCTGGAAGAATTTAGTAGCTGTTTTTTCTTCAAGTATAGTTGAAATTAAATATGACAATATATTATGAATGTAAGATTTTGGTTTCTAAAGTGGAAGCCTTTGATTCCCCCTCACCCCTTAGGGTAATGCTTTAGCATGCTTTGCTTATTTTTGCAAGCATCTGGGACTACAGTCAGTTGCTGTAGCACAGAAACTGTGACTATCTTTCCTTAGCCTCAGGATTAGATGTGTTTTCTCCCACTCTATACATATGCTTCAGTAGGCTTCTATACTGTGGAAACCAGAAACATTTTGTGTATTGAATTTGCATTTTTTGGTCTGATACAGACACTTCATTTTCTTTTCCAGCACCTTGTTACTGAATGCAGGTCTGTTTAATTTGCCTTTATTTTGCCCTGAGCTTAAAGGGAAGGACATATCCAAAGCACAGAGTTACTTTTCTAACCAAAAGAAAAGATTTTATAGAGCAATTGGCTTGTAGTAGTCTTTTAAAGTATTTTCCTTGAACTTCACACTTTATCCAGTAGTAGTTATCATTTACATTAGGGCAGCGATTGTCTCTGTGCTGTTGATTATGCATGGCACGCACATGGTGGTTGGTACTTGTAGTTCCTACCTCGAATCATAGAATCATAGAGTATCTCAAGTTGGAAGGGACCCATAAGGATCACCGAATCCAACTCCCTGCTCTTTGTAGGACTACCTAAAACTAAATCATATGACTAAGAGCATTGTCCAGATGCTCCTTGAGCTCTGACAGGCTTGGTGCCATGACCACTTCCCTGGGGAGCCTGTTCCAGTGACTGACCACCCTCAAATTATTTATGTGCTAAACTGTGTTTGGACAAAATAGGAAAACAATGTAGTTCATGTTCATTGAGTGTTTGTCCAGAAAGTACCACCCACCTGTTGTGTCAGACTACACAATTTTTAGTCATACACAGAGAGATGCTTTTACCAATTGGAATTCATGATAAAAGTAGCTTAGTGCTTAGTACTTTTTATAGCAGATATGATTAAATATGTTCTATTTGGATTTAGAAAATATGTTCTGTTTGGATTTTAGCCTCTTTACATACACTCAAAAGGAAAATAAGTCCGTGCAAGTCATAATGGAAAACAATAGTGAATAGGATGATATCAGTCCCTCTTACATCGACATTGCCTGTGAACTTTTCAGGGTTTGTGTGTTTCAGCTGCTCTTGGGCAGCACCAAAAAGACCGTTGGAGCAGAGTAAATGGTATCGTACTTCATGTTCTGTGAAGAGTAACAGCCTTTATAAAGCTATTGGAATGTAATTATGTTTTCCTTTCTTGAGCAAACAAATGGATGGTTATACAATTAAATAATTGCAATTAATTTTGTTGAGATCTGCGTGATGGTTTTACAGAAGCCTGCTTCTTGTTGCTATTTTTAAATGAAGGTCTGATTTCTCTTTTAGTGTTAACAACCTAGGAAACAATGAGTTGATTCTAGCTTTCCTTTTGACCAGGCAAGTGTATCACTGGTCATAGACTGTAGATGCTCCATGAGAAATTAAGACCACTGCAAAAAATAGATTCTTGTAGAATATGGAAGACTGCAAAGGTCTGGGACTTTAGCAAAGTCTAGACAAATTGTACTTACCATTCTGTTCTGGACTTGAATTTCATGTTTGAGCAGCTTTCTGCTATAACCTATTTGGATTTTTATTTTTTAAATTAAAAGTTAAAAAAATTAAAATAAGTCTTTCTAATTTGAAATATATACATCTTGTTTTAGTATTTTACAGGTTTTTAATTTAGTTGGGTATTTTTCCTCAGTTTTCTCAGTCTTGCAGCATATGGATTTCCTGACCTAGATCCCACTAGGTTTCAGTGACAGCTTGTTTGTTAATTGGGGTGGGGGTAGAACCTAGTTCATCAAACAGAGTTCCTTGTTGATGAGGCATTGTGCCCTTTTGTATATATAGGCCGTGAAATAGGCTTATAAAGCCCATCATTATGTTTTTTAGGATACAGTCATAGGCCAGCTGGATATTTACATTTTGAAATAAGTTGACAGATGCTAAAGAATTTTACACAAGGTCAAATTTAAAGCAGCACTTTATTGGAGCAGCTATATATGTTAAGGGTAAGCCCTGCTAAAAGAGGTAGTGAATACATGTACCAATATTAACAGCCACCAGAATTTCAGGAAGGCCCCCTATTTGGGCGAAGTCAGAATAGATGTTTGCACAATTGCCTTCAGGCATACACTTAAACACAGAAGTGACATTTTTTCTCATGATGTATGCTAAGGAGGAAACTAAGTACTTGTGTTACAGAAGAAATAATAGATATCCAGGTGAGTTCCAAGGAAAAGGTGTTGAAGTGGTGCAGAAAGGAAAGTAAAAGCTGGTCAAATCTTGCACACGCGTAAATTGAAAGTCTTAAGTGCCTTGATTGCTACAAATCAGTCCTTTTCCATGTTGTGCAGTAATACTGTGTTGTGAGACGTAATTTATAGAGAGCTTTACATTTCTACGGTGTCTTTGACCTCGGGAACTTTAAATATTGGTAGTAGGAGAAGTCAAAGTACTTAATATAAAAAGAAGGATATGAAGGTGAAAATCAATGTTTGTTATAGACTGAGATCTTCCTAGCATTTTTACAAGCACGGTAAAATTCGTCGTCATAGCCTTGATGAGAGTACAGGGCAAGAACTCTTTGGGTCAGGATATTTTTTTATCCTTCACCCATGATGACACAGTTAGATAATTGCATTTTGGATGCATCCAACAAGAAACTCTGTCATTTGTGTATTTATTTGAACTTAGTTGTTGACAAGCATTGGCAAACAAAAAAAGCAAGGCTAGTTCTGTACATGTGCACGCCTTATTTTCCCAAGGGTTATTTGAGCTTCCAAGCACAGGCCCATCTGATACTTGAAGAAATGCTGCTGTAGATAAATTGAGCCACTAAACTCAGGAAAAAAAGCAGAGCATGTGAAAGAAAGTGTTTAAATATGCAGCGAGGACATAACACACAACCTATATACTGTGCCTTGAGCTGTAGTTGTATTACCTGATTGCAGCTATAGAAAATTTTGCTTAGCAAAGGTCAACACGTTCTTCTGTCAATGACTAAATTACATTTAAAGTAGTCATGAGATTTTATTTATACCTACTTTCTTTATGGCAATAAACACCCTTGAGTAAGTACCTCCAGCTTGTCTAACAACTACTGCCAAGAAGATAAAACATTAATAACTTTCGTCTGTAGAGTAGCTATCTTAGCTAAGTGCATTAAATGCTTCTAAGTAAATCATCACTAGCCAAATCATCTTCCATCCAGGCAATTCTATTAGTTGTAGAATTTATGAGGAGGAAACAGTCTGACTGGAAAAAATGTGAATGGGACTAAAGAATTGTTTAAGAATTTTCTGTAGGGCCAAAGAACTACAATAAAGAAAAAAGAAAATTTTGGCTGAAAGCCCATCTGGGTTGCAGACTGAAAGGAAGAGAACATACAGAAAAAAGACAACAAAAAATCAATGCATAAGAAATAGATAAAATAAGAAATAGCTGAGAAGATTTCCCTCCTGCTGTTTTTGACTGGATTTCAGAATACTTGAGAATTCAAAAGGATGCTAATGCTGTGTTAGTATTCAAAGAATAAAAGGAAATATACAGTAGAATGAATAGTGTACAGGAAATTTATATGGAAGAAAGCTTAATCCAGTGGAGTAGGAAAGACATCTGTATTTGTCCAGACTAAAGACAGTATGAATTTTCTTGTTCAAGTAGAACACACAGAAATCCTTAAAAAATAAAAATTGGCCCATAATGTGTGAAATATTGACATTGTTAATGCTGAGGCAGATCAGTATCACAGTTCTCCTTTTGGTAAGTAACAGGATGGAGAGATACTTTCTAACTTATTGTTAACTAAAGAAGGTGCTAACCAACATCTACTGGGATTAAATGTATTTATTTATTTATTTTGAATTCTCACCGTGGGCAGTTTAGGGTCCTAACAAGCTGTGTAATAGATCTCTGGTCAGGTGTTGTAGTTCAAAATATATTTCAGAATACTTGGGGTATTCTAGAAGAGCGCTAGTATTGTGCCAGTTTTGAGAGGGTAGGCAGCATGATCTAAATACTTAGGGATAACTGAGCCTGATCTCAATCCTGTGCAAGTAACTGAGAAGTTGATATGGTATCCAATTAGCAAGGAGTTCCTGCTGTACAGATCACAAGAGTTTATATGACTTACTGAAAAGGGATTTTCCAGACACAACTGATTTCATTTGCTGAGGAGTTTTCAAGACTAATATAGATAGTTTCTGGGTTTAATACATGTAAGCCCAGGTCTTCCAAGTTACCTTGGAAGAGAATGTATAATTTATTCAACTAAAGATTTTGTTACTAAATTCATTTGAGGATTTAATTCTTATTTTCTGTAAGCTATTTAATTTTGAACCATATGCCACTGAGTGCACTGCTCAGTGTCAGTTACCTAGCAAACCTCAAAACCACATCTCTCCCCTGAGTCATCAGTAGAAAGTGGTAGTCAAATGGCACATACCTACCGGGATTTCACAGTGCTGAGCTCTACACCTGACACTCTGCAACATTTTCAGTGGTGACATGAAAACAAATACAGAATCTCTCCTGACTAAAACAGGTATGGGTTTTGTCCGGTGAGGCAAAGGAGTAATTAACGACAAGCCCAAGGCAGTCACGTGGCATAGTCCTACTCGCAGGAAGCAGAACCTGTTTGAAATAACTGTGTTAATAAAGACAAATGCGTCGTGATGTGAAACTGAAGAAGCTCAATCAGCTCAACTTATCAGGCAGAAGATTGAAAAGTTACCGGATTGCAGCACATTTAATACCTTCACAGAGAGAAGATGATTGTTGCTAACAGGTGATATAACGTGGGAGAAGAAAACACAACCAAAGAGGTGGGAAGAGGAAGAAAACTAGGGCTGTGTGTTTCATAGAATCACAGAATCATTTAAGTTGGAAAGGACCTTTAAGATCATCAAGTCCAACCATAAACCTAGCACTGCCAAGTCCACCACTAAACCATGTCCCTAAGCACCACACCTACAAGCCTTTTAAATACCTCCAGGGATGGTGACTCTACCACCTGCCTGGGCAGCCTGTTCCAATGCTTGACAACCCTTTTGGTGAAGAAATTCTTCCTAATCTCTAATCTAAACCTCCCCTGGTGCAACTTGAGGCCATTTCCTCTTGTCCTATCACTTGTTACTTGGGAGAAGAGACCGACCCCCACCTACTACAGCCTCCTTTCAGGTTGTTGTAGAGAGCGATCAGGTCTCCCCTCAGCCTCCTCTTCTCCAGGCTAAACAACCCCAGCTCCCTCAGCTGCTCCCCACCAGACTTGTGCTCCAGACTTTTCACCTGCTTCGTTGCCCTTCTCTGGACTTGCTCCAGCACCTCAAGGTCTTTCTCGTTGTGAGGGGCCCAAAACCGAACACAGGATTCGAGGTGTGGCCAACTTCATGCTGAGGTTGTTTAACTGTCAGAAAAAATGACAATGAGAGAGGTTTGTTTCTTCACCTGTTCCAGGTTGGCTTGGAAGATGCTGCATGGCCAAACACAAGTGGGGGCACAACACAGTGAATTGCATGAGGCAAGGTGAGATGATGTCTTGACACCTTTTGGCTTTACTGTCTATGAACCTACTGTTTCCATGGAGTCCTGTTATCTAGGGAGTGATGTCAGCAGAAGACTTATTTCTGGCAGGGTTTCTGGCTGGTTTCTGGCTGACTTCCAGCAAATCAGCTGGCTAATGCCAAACTAAAGCAGTCTCCTTTCCCTTCATGAGAGTGATCGTGTATGAGAGTGACATAGCTGCTCTCATTTCTTAGAAGAGTCATCTGTTGAAACCTCGCCAAGAATGCCTCAATCTGGAAAGAAGAAGAAGCTTTTATATCCTCCAGTGAGTCACACAGTTACAGGGACAGCGATAGTTAAAGAACTCTAGCTATGAAGACGAGCCTGAGGCTCTGATGGAGAATTTTAATAGACTAATCTCGGGGGGGTGTTTGACACAAACAGCTATGGCCAGTTAAGACACATAGATCGGCAGAGTGGACATTACAACTACAAATAAATTGGACATAAAATGGATATAAGAATTAGTGAATTGCTACAGCAAAGAATTGGCGATTTGCTGGAAGCTAATGGGATGAGATCTGTATTAAGTATTTCAAAGTGTTGCTGTTACTCTGAGGAAAGGTGTCTGCATAGAATTAGAAATCAGGTAACAGAAAGAGTAGGAGTCACTTTCTGTGAAAGTGTCTAAACAAGAGATGAATGGGAGGTGAAATGTGCAGTCTATTGAAGAGCTTGTGGATCTTGTTTGAGTTACAGATTGACTCAGCAATGTTTCCCATTCACATCTGTGCTTCTTTTAATGAAAGATAGAGCTGCTGGAAATGATGGGCCAGTTCCACATGGTCCACATGGACCAGAGAGTTGCATGGGCACAGTTAGTCAAGAATGCTATGTGAACCCACTCCTGTGCTGCACTTCTGGCCAGTTGACTAATGCCTTTTTTAAAAAAAAAATAAAAAAAATCAGGTATTAGGAGCAGGTTGATGCAGGTTGTATAGATAAATAAAAACTGCCATGTTTGGTGCATTTTCCACAGTCTCAAAACATATTGTACCCAAACCAATATGAAAAAGGTTGGATCTAAGGAACTGAGGCACAAGGGATTCTAGGTAGCTGCAGGAGACTGGTGAGTGAGAGGTGGTTTTCAAGGTCTGAAGTTGAACTTAGGCTTTTAGGGTAGCACTAAACATATGAAAGCACGTTCACGTGTCAGAGTGCCGGTGAAGTCTCAGCACGTCACCGCGTCCAAGCTCACAACAGCACTGTGCAGAGCTGTGTAATGTGGCAGCCAGGCCTCCCAGGAGGAATTACTGGCTTTGAAGCAAAGCTCTGAAGATACAGCTTGCTCGCTGCCAGGATCTCCTGCTTGCTTAGAGACCTCTGCACGTGCCCTCAGACTTCTTGAATCTGGCCTTCTAGACTTGCTCATCTTTACCTGAAATAAACATGGTATAGAAATTGAAACAAATTTACAAAGTAGTAGAGATAAAATAGATGACTGGACCGTATGTCTGGAGTGGAAATGATCCCTCACCTCCCAGGAAGCGTGGTCGTTTTACCTGTTTTCTCAACAATCAATCAGCATCAATGCAAATGATTTAAGATCCAAATTACTGGTGAAAAGAATCATGCTCTTATTTTATAATTTTATGAGATTGAAAGAATAGTTTATAAAAGCCAAACTAGTGTTCCAGAAGTCTATTTTTCATAGTACTTTTCACATAGGCTTAGAGTGAAAGTGCAAAACAAAAATAATTAAATGAGTATTTCAGCAATATCCTGATGTCAGCTTGCCTGCTTGTCGCCCTAATTTGAAGGTTGCAGAAGTATGAATCTACCTTGAAATTAAAAGGAAAAAAAGTGCTCTACAAGAAGTAGACTGAATTATTTCTGTTCATCTCTTTTGGATGTGATATCTTTTAAACCATGCAATTCAATATTTTGTGCACATAGCATAATGCAGACTAACTAAATCAATGTTTTAAGCCATATTTTATTTTGAAATCCTATTTAGATTATGTAATATTGTGAACTGATATATTTCATAATAATTTTCTGGGATTTGATGAATTCCATGAACAATGCAAAACTGAGAAATGCATGCAGATGTTTGCAGCTGTTTGTGGGAAAGTATATCTGTTGTTAACTACAGTATTATAAAGTCATGAATACAGTTGTAAAAATAACAAGTATGGTCTTCATTAATGGAAATTAGCTTAAGGGTAGAAAATGAGTAAATTTGCACAGTTAAGGTGTACTACTGTAGTCTTCCAAAACATACTGCAAAACTGACAGTATAACTGCAAGTAGATTTTTAGTTAATAATCTTACGCTTTCCAGTGGTTTCCACATTCTTATCTGCACTATTTGATGACAGACCTCACATGCTTACATCTCTATGCAATTCTATTTTCTCACCCAGTGAAGGGAGAAACTGGCATTTCTTCATCCAGTCTCGCATATGCATATCCAGGTTAAACAAGAAGCCTTAGTTTCATTCCTCCTTATAGCAGGTGCTTGACTGAAGCATGTAAATGAAGGAGGCAAGTAATCTTTGTAGTTGGTAGAGATGGAAAGGCACTTCCAGAGGTCAATTCAAATGTTGGAGTCAGTCTCTGGTGGTGCTTGCCTGTCTTTACCATTTGCATATGGCATTTATCCTTCTGTGTGTGGTGAAGTTTTTTAGCCACATTTTTAGCTCAAACACAGTCAGTATGATTAGCTATTAAAACAGTAACTGTTGCTTCTACCTTTTGAAATCAAACAATTGAACATCATACAACCTCACTGCTAAAACCAACAGTAATAAAAACTCCCTGTATTCTGTTTCTTATTTCTTTTTCTAGCTTCCATTGTCCTGCAGAAGTGGTGGTGTCATATGAACCCCTGTTTGGATGGAGAGGACTGTAAAGTACTACCAGACTATTCAGGTTGGTCTTGCAGCAGTGGAAATAAAGTCAAAACCACAAAGGCAAGTACAGAGATCACCTATATTTAAAGGTGTCAGTCTGCTGATAGCACTTGCTTATTGCATTGCATCTGTGGGTGTGAGCACCAGTACCGGATTCCTTAATGTTTTGGAAAGCGGTGATTAATGCAGTTGTTCTCAGAGGGGGAAATGTTGAGTCAGAACTGCCCCTTCACTGCTGGCCTAGTTAAGTTATGGGGTGCTGGAGTCAAACTGAAGAAGGCTCTGCTTCAGTCTTTAATGAACAAAGAAACTATTCCGTTGTGACCAGTGCTAGAGGGATAATCATGTTCAAGGATCAATTCTTCAATTTGCGGACTGAGTACATGGATCCAAGGTCTTAGCAATGTCACCTAAAGTTAGATTCCTGTGCTACTGGAAAGCCCGTTTAGCTTTTGAAAGTAGCAGCCTGTCTTGGGAGTTGTGGAGAATCTACACTGAGATCAGTGGGAACTGTGGGACGCTGAGCACCACTGGAAGTCAGGCTGGTACAGATCATTTCTCATTATAAGCCATCCTGTAGATGGCCTGTTTTTTAAAAAAAACTTTACTATGCCATCGTATTTCTTAACTAATGGCCAGCAGAGAGAAAATACCATGTCTTCTGTCTGCTTGACAATCTAAAATTAGTTCAGTGCATTGAAGTTCAACAAGTCATAGCAAACTGGGTATCTAAATATATCCTAAAACAGGAGTCTTTAGTAGGCAATAGCAAGGAAAGACATATGCTTAGCTTTTCCCTTTACAGCCTCTTCTAGTTGGGAATGAATGTTCTTTATGAGATTACAGTCTGAGTTAATAAGCAAATACTGGTACCAAATGTTGTTCAATAATGACTGTTCTAAGGAGTGAAAACTGTACTAATTTCTGGATGAAAGAAAGAAAATTGGATGGTTTGGGCAGCTGTGGTGTGATATTGGTGGTCTAAAGCCCAGCTACAAACATTGCATGGTGGCAGGCTCACTGGAAAAATCTGACCAGACCAACCAGTCTGAAAAAAAACTATTCCTGCTTTTAAGATCGGAGTAATTATTGCAAATCAATATTACTTGCCAAATGCCAAAGATGTAGTCCATAGTGTGCTTAGGTGCTGCTGTTCTCCTGTGACAGATACTACACTGAAAGTTGACCTGCACACTCTAGAATCAGTATGGGTAACTGGCAGTGAGTTATTGCAAGATATAGATTACCCTCAGCCTTTAATTTTTTTCACAGGCACTGACTTTTAATTACTCATGTATAGATAAGGGATGGTGTTGTAGCATCACACTGAAGGGTGAGACTGGTGAAGCAGAAATTCTAGATATTGAATAAGACAACTTCATCCCTCGACATACCAGAAGAGAGCTGGCAATTTATACCAAACGGACCTTATTGGAAAAGAGTAAGCCAGGGTTAAATGTCCTTGATGCCTTCAATAGATGCTAGAGGGATGAAGGGTGAGAGAAAGAACTTTATGTTGGCATTGATGACTGAAGGCCTGAGGCATCAAGTCCTCATTCATGCAGCTGTCTCTTCCTATGAACAGTTGCCTTTTACTTCATTGAGGTCAATTGACCACATGAGTCACATAGCCTGTGGTCGTGACTCTTGCTCTCAAAGAGTGAGAAGAGGCAGCCGGAGTCGGTGGGAGTTTACTAATAGAAGGCATGGATCATTTATTTCATCATCTGTGACAAATATTGCAACCAGCAAACTACACAATATGGTAATGCATTCTGATGGGTTTAGAGGTGTTTTTATAAAGCTAGAGCGGGACGAATCATCCTGCCTGCAAGTAGACCTGTGCAAATTGCTCAACTCCAGTGAGTTTGTGCAGGTGTAACAGAGAGCAGAGTGTAGCAATGTAAGTGCAAAAGTTGGTTCATTAAAGTCTTCCTCTGCTTTGCTGAGGTGTGGAGTAATGCATTTTGCATTGATTTTTGTCACCATAGGAGATTTCTTTGAGGGGCATTTAATTGAAAGGATAAGCAAACAACTGACACTTGTGCTTCGATGTGAATCATTCTAGTGTTACTGACACGAGATCTGGTTTTTTTCCTTGCATGGTTTTGTTTTTCTTTCGCTGCCCTGTGTTGTTTTAGATTTTTGATTTGAGCATGTTAAGATAGGACTGTATTTTCTTGTGCATGTGGTTAGCAACAGTGTAAGGGAGATCGTGGTTCTGATTGGGGTCTTGGAGTGCTACAACATTATAAACGTAGATAAGAATACCAAAGTTAGGGGTTAAACATTACATTGAAATCACGTAAGTGAGTCCTAACCTTTAACTAGTGATTGGCCATGTTAGAGAAGGGAACAGGCAGACTTCCTTAAAGGGCAGATCCCTTAAAAAAAGTCTTTCAGTCCCTCCCTTTTTAATTACTCTTTGCTAGAATTTCTTCCATTGTTTGCTGTATGTGTTTTATGTGTGGATACTTCAGGGAAGTATTACTTTCATGCTTTTAAATACTTCAATTTTGATCCATAAAAGCTTTTTCTATGTGTTTACCTGTGTTGTTAGTACGTGAACCATGAAAAGTTACTTTTGGAGGCTGAGATTTAACATACCTGTATCTGCAGTGGTAGTGATATTTCTAAAAGCTGAGGAGTTGTCATACTATCACCAAGTTGTTGTACTCCTCTTGAGTATTGTACCTCTTAAGAATCAGTGTGAAATCATGAAGTTTGTTGTCTTTATTGGTCCAAGTAAGAAAGGACGTGATTTGCCCAAGGTTTTGTGGGTGGGATTCATTGTGCCCAGCTGCAGGCAAGTTTCCATCCAAGCTGAGTTGTTTAGGACTCTCCAAAGTCGTGTGGGGAGAATCGCATAACGGTGCCCACCCACAAGAGTGTTCCCACGAGTACTTCTTTCTCTCCTGTACCTTAAAGAAGCCCTGGATGACAAGCTTACATGTAGATGTCTGCTTGCTAGACAGCAAAACCTATGCTACAGAAACTGTCCTGGCATTTGTATTTCCTTTGAATGTATTTTGCCTGTCTTGTGGGTGGTTTTCTCTGTCTACCAAGATATAGTTGTTGCAGAAATATAATGAGTAATGGTAACTCCAGATTCTGAGCAGAAGCTTGTGGCACGGGCAATATTGAACTGGAAGGAAAATAGAATGGAAAAGTTTCCCTTGTTATAGGGAAAAGGAAATATGATATAACTTATTTTTTTATTTAAATAATGAACCAAAGATTTGTCCAAACTCAGCTCAATCAACAAAATATATATTAAGTGCATTGTTAAAACTTTACACAAAGAGGACTGTATGAACTGTTAGATCAGTAGTCCAAACTGTACAGCCGTCTGTGTGTCTCAGTGCTGGAATACTTGAAACAGAAAGACACAGCAAAACCCTTGTGGACAATTATAGAAAATGTACACGCACATGAAATTCTTTGAGTTTAATAGTTAGCTTATGTCTAAAACACGAGAGTTGAGATCCATTCCATATTAATTTTTTTTTTCCCTATGTTATGTACCAAAGATGATCTCATTACTATTTAAATTTCTAATCAATTTTTAAAGCTTTCTAAGACCCTGGGATCAATGCTAGTTGGGACAATGACTTCCACAGGTTAATTATACTCTGAAAGAGGAAATGCCATTTAATCAATTTTAAGTCCTCTATCTTCATTTTGTGAAAATATTAGAGTAACTCAAAGTATAGGAAGCACAGGAGACTCCTGATGCTACTCAGTATTTAGATGAATAGTTAGCAGCTGAGTGGGACAGTTAAAATGTGAAAAGCAGAAGAGCTCGTTTCTTACATCAGTTACCTCGGGGCAGGAAATAAAAACTTCTCTATGCTGAGTGTCTGTTTAGTTTTGTAACATGTCTAGACACTTCAGAGCAGAGCTGACAAAGCTTTTCTCCTTGCAGGCTGCCTATTCTCATCCATTTCCAAGATGGGAAATGCGACACCACCCCTTTTCACTGTGTAGCCAAACTCACCAGGTTTGTGCACGGTGTGTGTACATTAAGGCTTGCACATACATCCTCGAAGCACCTGCCTGTGTGTGCATATGGTTTTACAGGGAAGAGACCATGGGGTCCCATGGGAGAAGTGCTGTCTGGCAGTGGCTTCTGCTGCAAGAACAATTCATCCCCTCTGCAGATTGTGTTCTGTCTGATCCCTAGTTCCCTCCCGTAAGATGGACCACGGGGAATGGGGTAGCAGGTTGCATGAATGGTCTTTTGGGATGCAAGTTGTATAGTTGTGCTGTAGGCATTGGTGTTGAAAGTGATCCTAAGGAAAATAAAGTAAAAGGAGATTTCCATGAGATGTTGGTGGCGAATTTAATAGTGAATGACCATTTCTTTATCTGCAAATCTCCCTTATACTATTGAATAACAGTGTAATTGACATTTACATGCAGATTCTGTTTCTTTGCAAGGTGTATAGGTATGGCTGGCGCAAGTTCATTCATGATGTATTCATGTGTACAGTTCCTTTGCAGCAACAAAGCACTTGTTACCATCCTTGTTTGATCTATTCTGTGTAGGTAACTCTTTCGTCTTCTTTTATAGGTAACGCGGTAGCAAAGAATAAACCTGTGAGTCAGTACCAGAACAATGGCATGTGCAACTGTTGCTTGGCTGTTACACAGAGACCCTTTTTTGTTATGATGCTATTGACTTAATTCTTTGAACTTGCAAAATTAGTCAGCAAAAAGGACAATACTTCTCCTTTCAACTGTGGCTGGAGCTCCTGGATTTTGCTATACAGAACGGTACATTTTAATTTCACAAGAAAAAGCAAGGAGATTTGATTCTACCTGAAATACACCTTGGATTCCCAAGGATCCTGACACCTGGCAGAAATTTGTGGAAGCACGCACCTGAACTTCTGTGGTGCATCAAGGATAAGACTTTCTTAATGACACTAAGATATGTAAAGTTGTTTTAAATGAGTTTAGATCATGAATGTAACCTAGGGGGTCATAAAAAGAAAATGCTTGTGTTGGAACTGGTACAGATGATCTTAAAGGTCTTTTCCAACCTAAATGATTCTATG